TCTTTGGATTTGTCAAACTTTTCGACAGTGACTTTAAAATAAATATTGCGATTTGAAATATTTCTCGGGATTTGAAAAATATTTTTGGATTGTCTCTTTTCGGCTTCCGTAGTCATTGGCTACGTGCCTTACCATAGATTCAAATGTATCTTGCCTGCAATAAAATATTTGATTGGAGCATCAGGTGTTTTCCACATGGGATAAAATTTGCCTAAACGATCAGTGCCCCAGAAAATTTTATTTCGGCGAACATTATAAGACCCTTTTGAAAACAAGCCTCAGTATTTTCTTCATGACTAGACATTAAAAGTATATTGTTTGTTTTTTTCCTAGACCTTGCTTATGACATGTATGAAGGAGATGGAACCATCGGAAATGAGTAAGTCTGGAAGACGTTTTTCAGATGACCCAACGAAAACTCAGAGTACAGCTAAAAACAAGCAAATTTCGTGAATTTCGGGAATACGCGAGTTATGGCCTTGATTTGATCTTGCTTGAATTGATCTTGATTTGATCTTGCTTCTCATTGCTTGAGAGCTTAGTGTAAAGTTTTTACACTAACGAAAGAGAGTTGCGTTGGAAACCGATGTAATCCTGGATTTTTTCTAATAAGCACTCTACTTATAGCCTTATACCGGTTTCTTTTTCATTTTTCCTAGGTTTATGAACTCTATTCAGCCCATAGCCACTAAAGTGCCCTACATGGCTCTACCAGGAAACCACGAGGTACGTTTGAAATGGAAAAGCTGTTCAATCTAGGCAATTTTACATTTCAAATTTTAATCTTCATACTTTCATTCTTGCAGCAAATGTATAACTTCACTCACTTCGTTCACCGTTTCTCCAATATGGAACTGGGCGTTGGGCAAACGAGCGGAAGTGGTACCAGTCTTTGGTAAATAACTTTCCTCATGGGTAACTTAAGTTTTCTTACGGTCTCTAGCTTAAAAAGAACTGTTAAATGTACATTTACATCAGCTGTAAATGCTGATTGCTTTAGAGCCGCTGTGACTGAATCGGACATCTTTCTGTATTTTATTTTTGTTGTCTTTTCAGCTTTTAAGCATGCGCCTCATTTTAACTCTTCCTCAAGGAACATTTAAAATGATAAATGGTAGTCCAGTTTATGACATGGTTTTGAACTTCACCTTCTTGTCTGAAACTCACTAAACTGATCTCGGTTTTATTTTAAGGTGGAGTATGGACATAGGACTTATTCATTTCGTGGCATTCGACTCGGAGGTCTACCACTATTATCGTGATAAGGTACCATTAATTTTCTTCCGTAATAGCCCATTTCCGAATTGCCTTTAGCTTTTTTTTCCAAGCGAGTCCTGGTGCTCATCCTTTCCTATGGTAATAAGTTTTCACTCACCTGCAAATTTTATACGTACGATTGAGCACCAGGCCTCGTTTTGAAAAAGAGGCCAAACGTAATTCGAAAATGGCCTATTTCGGCTTTAGCGCATGTGAACGATTCATTACTATTCCAAACGTGCTTCTTATCACCTGACAGATAATTTCTTGACACATGTCGTACAAGGGATTTGAAACTGATCGAAAAATCATTACACGTTGAAATTTTCTATAATAACTGCCGTTGTTTACAACTGCTTGTCAATTTGGGAGCGTCAGGTCGTCAATGACTATATCACACTTTTATTTTCAGGGTCAAATTCAAAGACAAATCAATTGGCTGGAGGCTGACTTAATCAAGGTAACGTCCGCTCCCCTTCGTTTAGGAACTCCTGAATCTAAAAAAAAAAAAATCACCTTTATTGATGTCTTGCCTTTTTTTCGTTTTATTTATCCAGCTTCAAACAAGTTTGGTACAATGAATATATGAAGTTCATATATTTTGAACTGCGGT